TTTATGATAAGAAATGATTTACCTGTATTTTGTTATAATATTTTATCGTTCAATTTATTTTGTAAAATTTTTGCTAATACAACTCTATTGTTGCTTATATCTATGTTAATGCCATATCCTTCCAATTGTTTTTTCAATTCTTCAATAGTAAGGCGATTTGTATTGATTTCTAATATAAAAGAATTATAAAAAAATCACAAAAAAATCAATTTTCAAAAATCTAGATCAATTTATTACATACTTGATTTATGAGGAAGCAGTGTGTTCCAATTGGAAGTTGAAATTGAGTGATCTGAAACTTGTAGATTAGATTTTTCAAGAGGTTTTTTTTCAAATTGTGTTATCTTAGCTGGCTCAAAATTTTTCCATATTCCAATATTAGGTATAGCACGAATCTGAATAAATCCTGCATATTCACCTTCTATTGGTTAGGACCACTTATATCAATTAGAATTTCCAGGTATTGAATTTTTCTTTTTTCGTTCTGATTCTACAAATTATAGCAATTATTTTCTAGTATTATTACATAATTTTATAATTGTATACTTATATACTTCTTTTTCTTTCTGGTTCCAAATGTGCTATTGAAGTACCACAAATCCCTTGAATAGTATTTTCTATATCTACACTTTTATTGATATTAAAACCTAATCGAATATGTCAATTTATTACATGTGATATCTGTAACCAATGATTCAATAAATAATAATAGTGATTTCCTAAATGATTTGAACAACCAATATACACTTGGGTGTGATGAGAATCTATAGAAGTTTTAGTTTCTCCTACTTCTAAAAAAACCCATTTTTTTACTGTAATATTATACCATTCATTCCAATGTCCTAAAATTAGCATTAGGTTTACATTATGATAATGTGATCCATTATCTGAAAGAAAAGTAATCCAATCTGGTTTGACTTCAAGTGATTCAATAACTGCATGTAGTGAAGAGGCTGTAAACTATGCATCCTGTCATGTATCATTTGACCAGTGATCAAATGCTTGAATATCCAATTGATGACTTTCAGATTTTGTATATATACAAGAATTGAATGTAACGCCCAACCTTTTTTTTCAAAAAAGCACTTTTTGTTTCTCTTGCATTTTTAGGTAAAATTTTCATCTTATAATCGACTATTATTATAGCTCCTTTTTCATCTAAATCTAATAAATTTGCGTTAAATTAAGAATTTAAAAATATTTTACGTGTCTAATGACTCAAATAATAGAAAATTTGATCTTGTAATTCACAAATTTTCTTATGAATATTGTCTAGAGTGTTTTTTTTCAATATCAACAAAGAATTGAAAAAGTGCATCACAATCTGAATATGTGTGAGTATATTATTCATTATATGTATCAAAAGCAAAAAAAAGACAATGATTTATATATGGATTATGTGCTGTTATGCCATCAGAATTTACAGTCAAATGTAATTCATATTCTCTTTTCAAATAACGTTTTAATTTCTCTCTTTGAACTAATAATTGATTCTAAAAAAAAATATCAGAAATTAATATTCATATAAATATTATCATTTTTTACTAATTATAGGAATGAAAAATATTACCTGGATATGAAGATTACTAACATGATTCTGAATAAGCTTGGTGAGTTCATCAAATATTTTGTAACCATATGTGTTGCATATTGAACACAAACTACTAAGATTCTTACGATAAATATATCTGTTACCCTGCAGATGTTTATAAAAAGTTATTCACTTTATTCTATTTGGATACTTTTCGTGAAACTTTTTCACAGTACTTGTTTTGTATTTTTGAGGTAATAAACTGGTTTTTACGTAATAGAATCTGTTTTGTATGAATTCATTATTACATTAGTTTTATCAGAAAAGAATTGTTCTAAATTTTCTTTTTTTTCCTGTTCTAATTTGTCTTTAGTAACAATAGGTTTTTGTGCTTGAGATGCATCCAGTCCATTAATACATGCATATTAGTGAGCTCTTGATACTGTATTCGCAGCTACCTATAAGATTATATTTTTTTATTAATTCAATGATTTTTGAGTTAATATTGTAATATATACTAACCCCTAATTTTAATTTGAGTTTTTGATAGGTAAATTTTGTAGCAATAATTGAAAGAATTTGTCTTTGACCATTTGGACCTCTATTTGTATTTTTCAATACATCACGAATGCTTGCCAAAATGTAAGAGATTGATTTTTTTGATAATTTGGATTTTGTTGAAGGAATTCTGATTTGTAAAGTATTTGTAATGTTGTAAGATCTTTTTGTGCATTATGTGATTTCATTCAAAATTCAAACTAAATCAAAAAAATTATTTGTCAAATAATAAAATAATAAGTTAATTCAATTTCAGGCTTTTTTGAATAATTACTAACTTTTAGATTCTCCTTTTTTGAAAGGAGTGATATTAATACATCCTGCACTTCGAACAAATGCTCTCCAAGCACACTATTCTCGATCATTAATTTCATAATCAGATGGATATAAATCTAAAATAGCTTTCTATAATTCTAAAATATTACTCTTCTGATTTAACCATTTATCAAATAAATCACACCATCTGATCTCATATGGAATTCTTCTTTTCAAGTGATATTTATAAAGATTTTCTAATACTCCCTCTAAAGTCCAATCTGATACCATGCAAGAAGGAATTTGTGCTTGTTGAATACAAATTTGTGTATATGGATTTTCTAATCCAAAAATATTTTTTCCAGAATAATTTAAAAACCTGCCAATACATAACCAAACTTCATCAGGATCAATAGCATTATAAGTCCTTATCAAAGTACCATTAGTATATATTTGAATTACACATTCCTCATCTTCTATTTCTTGAATAAAAGCAGATTGTAATTGGATTGAAAAACGAACCTATATCCTTCTCCTGCATAGTTCCATTCCGGTTTTTTTTGATTTTCCCATTCCCAACACAATTAGGTATGTTCAATTTTCCAAGACTAATCATATATGGGCGAAATATAATATCACTAAGTAGTTGTTGTATAATATTTGAATTATCAAAGCCCATAACTTGTGGACCAGGAAACTTCGCATTTGAACGGAAAACTTTTTCATAGCAAGTATTAATAGCTTCTGTTGGTGAACTACATATACCTGACCGATTTTCTTCAGAAAAACACAAAATCCTGGGGAATTTGGATGTTTAGTGTCTTTTACAACTGTAACTATGAAGTCACATTTGTTCAAAATCGTATGAATTTTCATTTCTAAACGAATCGAAAGGAAAAAAGTATGCGTAGGATTTTTATTTATAGGTCGCACAAGCCACCAACTATGACAAAATGGACCATAATGTAAGTTTTCTACAATCTACGGGGGATAGCTAGTACTTAGTCTAGATTTATTTGATTTACTTTGTATTTCTTTTGTATAAATTTAATAAAGTTACTGGCAGTGCCACATCGTTAAAAAAAAAAAAAAAAAGATTTCTACAATTTTACCTACAGAAATAAGTGTTGTAGTGTATTCTTTGCTTTTACTCATATGTTTTGATTTAAAAAAAGAAGTTGGGTACGTAAAAAACGCGAGATTCTAAAAAACGCAAAATTACATAGACGTATTATCCCCACATTTTATATATGTCGATCACTACTTTATAAACGGATCACGAATTAAGCGTTAAATAAGTCTTTTATATTTTCTCTATTGCGAGAAGAAATTCTTGCGCAAACTGTCATGTTTTTATTAGGGGATACAGTAATTACGTGGGATAAATTATTCTTTAAATAATCCAAATGCTTCAAAGAAAATGTCATGTGGAAGTTTGATTTTAATAAAAACCAAAAAACAGGGGCAGTTCAGAAAGCGTTGACGTTAAGGGAGTATAATGAGTGTACTATGCCATGCCTCTATGAGATTCGTTGATGATTCTGGAAAGTGGGTAGGAACTTTGATACTATTTATTATACGATTCGGAAAAAGAACGACGACGAGGAAAATTTTCATCCTGCTAAGAGAATAATGTTGATGAAAAGATAAACTAATGGTTTTTTTATTTTGTTTGCAATTTTCAGAGATTTCACCGAATTTCAATTGCGTTTAAGCACTATATCTGTTGATTATTTAAACTGTTACACGCGAAGGACAACTGTATTTACAGTGGTCAACGAAAATGACATTTACAAATTATATCAAGAACTTATTTTATTTATAGAAATGGTTTTTTGTCAACATATGACCAAACACGGTTCCTTAAAGAAGTAAAGGGTAGGGTGTGGTAAGGAATAATTCGAATTATAAAGTGTTTAAATCGAGACGAGACTAAATAGCAAGTCATATTATACTAATACATAAAATAATTAAACGCTCAACAATAATATAGACATGCTTTTTTTTTTTTTTTTATAATAAAAAGATGAATTTAAAATATATTATGAATAATATACATGTGTATATATAGTACATGTATATTATTTCCTTTGATTATTTCGGTTCCTTAAATTTTAGGTGTAATTTTTCGATTCCAATATCTTAACTATATAAAAATTTCCTTAGCCTAACACAAGCTCTCCGAGGAGTACCATTTTGAAAAAAAAAGGATTCAAAAATTTCTACACGGAATAATTTTCTATCAATTTATTACCAATTTAAAAAACTATTCAAAAGTATACTAGCATTTCCAAAGGTAAAAACGTAAATAAAATACCATTAAAGGATAGCAATACAATAAATAAGATACAAAAAAAGCAATTCTTGTGACAAAATCGGGCCGAAACTAAATACAAAACTTAAACAACAATTAAAAAATTGAAGAAAGGGAAGGATTGCAGGCTAGAAAGAAGTTTGTGCGTTAGTTCAGATCAAAAAAAAAAAATCTCAAATACTTCAATCAATTATAAATTCAGTTCTTAAACAGCAACAAATCAAGGCAAGCACTGCCATTAGGAAATTTCTTTATCTTGAAACAAACATCCAAAAGGTTAATATAAATATTATATTAATAACTAATTATTTATTAAATAAATATTAAATATATGTAAAGAACTTATAAAACAGATTTAAAATACAAATCATTATTTCCCTTCAAAGAAAAATCTGTAATTTCTGTAATTATATTATTCTTGATTTGATTAATCTCCTGTTGAGTAAATTCAAGACATTTATTCAAATAATTTTCTACAGATCCATAGATATCCACAAATTCATGTAATGTTAATATCATTGATTCATATCTAAAAATTTAACAGTATGTCAAGGTGAATTCGAATTTCATAAAAATTTTTTTTTTGCAACATTGGTATATGTAAAATACTTACTTCGCACCCATCATTCTTTTAATTTGATCCAAAGTAAAAAAACCTTTACAAATCTCGTAATAATCTTTAATCACAACCTCACGTTCTACGAAATATCGATAATTTGCCATGATTAAAATTAATTCAACAAACCAAATGGAGTTATTTTCTCTTTTTTTTGTTACTTACGAGAATTTCTACCAGTAATTTCATATTCTCTAGCAATAATATCGTCATTAACGCCACATAATTTTAATACCAACATACAAAATATACCATTTCCATCATTACCAGTACATTGAATAATAAATGGCTTTTTTGGATGACTTAATATATGCTGAAATACTGCTTTGTAAGCTGACCTGCCTTCATTCAACATAATCATATACGCTATAAAAATATATTTATATATATTTAGAAATTAATACAGCTGTAAGTTAATTATTTAATATATGAATTATATAGTATACCTTTGGAATGACCTTCATAATCTTGATCATATAATGCCCACTTCTCAAATAACGCTTCTTGAGAGTCAACAGCCTTAAAAACTGGAACATGTATTCTATTAACTCCTGGTATGTCTCTATATTACATTAAAATTAATTATATTTTTTAAATCAAATATTTTTATAAATCACATAGATACTTACACAAGACCAATTGCTTGAACTTCAACATTTGATCGAAAATCAAACACATCTTGTAAGTTAAGCAAACGTAAAGTATTGATTCCCTTTTCAGTGATTCTAGTTAAACTATCAAAAAAAAAAAAAAAAATGGGTTAGAACAAATAAAAAATTGTCTTCGATTCAAAATTAATACAAATTTTTCTTACTCTCCGCTTCTAAAAATATATCTTTTCCGAAAATAACACTGCTTCAAGCTCCCGCCATTAATTTTGCAAGGATAACCACCCAAATCTCTAAAGTTCATCACACCATCAACATCCAGATATCGTGGTATTCTAGTCATAAATCTATTTCTTTCAAGAAATCTTTTAGATTGGAATTCATTTGAAAAATATTCTTTTATTAACGAAATTAATTCATTAGAGTGATTTGTATATGCGTGATTTGCGCCCATGATGATTTTTAATGTATTGTTGGGAATTATGTTTTTGTACGTTGCTGCATCATCCGTTGGTGTGAACTATACATATTAGTTGTGCAATAGATCAGTATAGAATCAGAACCTGTATTTCTTACTCGTAATAAAATTTACTTTTATCTTACTTCGTCATCTGATCAATGAATTATCAATACTGATGTAGATTCCGGCAAATTATGTACTATAAAAACAAAAACGTTTAATTTATTATAATATAAAAAAATAACACCCTTCCATTTTCTCCTTCAAAAACACTCACCAAAAGACATATCGATAGAAATAAAGTTCAAAAAACTATCATAAGTTGTCATAATTCTCTTAATCTGACCATCAAATTTATGTTCATCAATCTTGAAACCATCATTTTTAAATTTTTTCATATACTCTTTTGGGTAAAAATTTAATAAACTATTAAAATAATATCTTGCTGATATTGCTACTAGGTGCGGTATGTTTCGATTTAATTTTGTTGCATATTGATATGTTGCAATATTTCCTATTCGAATGAAAGAATTGCTTTTAATATTTTTTTTTTTTTTTTTTTTTTTTTTTTTTAAATAAAATAGAATAAAAATAAGTCGAGAAGGCAAGGTAAAAAAAAAACCTGGATTAAAAAGATACGAACCTAAGGAGTGACTTATGATGGCGTATAATTGATATCCGTACTCATTTTCTAAATATTTTACCACTGTATCAATATCTTCAATTTCATCCTAACATAATGGTTGGTTAAATGTCAAAGTTTTCATTAATGAATCTAGCAACGTTATTCACGTAAAATGCGAAAAAAAAGTTTTTTTATTTAAATTTTACCTTGGCATTACCATAATCGATAGAAATAAAATCACTTTCACCACTTCCTCGAAAATCAAAGCGATATGAATCGAATGGTAATTCTTTTGCTAATTCCGGTTGAAAACTGAAATTTTTATGTGCTATGATTCATTACGGCGCGTCGACCAAATTTTAAAGATAAAATTTCAAAGATTTTACTAGATAGATAGATACCTTGAGCTCCATGGCAAATAATTCCAACCTTTGCACCTTTCGTACTTTTATTTGGCGATTTACGCTCAAGTATACCAACAATGGTCTGTCCTTTCTCATTTTTAATAAATATTCTTTTCACAAATTCGTTATCCTTATGAGTACTCATTTTAATTCACAAATTCGTTACCCTTATGCGTCCACATTTTTTTTTAGGAGATAAAATTTTGTGGATCCATCCCTAAAAGGGTACAAATTTTCAATTAGGTTACGCGAAGATAATAAGTACGTCACACATATTTTTAAGGAAAATCTTCATTCATATGATATAGTTTTTTCTTATAAGATATTCGGATCTTTATCGAAACGACGAATTGCGAAGCCATGGGCGAAGTGACTCTGCCAAGAACATTGCGGTAACTAAGTAAGGGGATTTAGACAACTTGGCTTATTCCATTATCCATCCGGAAAATTGACTAAACCATAAAAAGCTGAATTAATTTTGATAACTCTCCCTAACTTTACTCCCTAATATCCACGTAAAAGGCTTAGTTCGGTGTCATATTTCTGACCAAGGTTAAAATCTTGAATAAATAAGAAAACACGAAAGTCCGTTGTAAACACAAATTATTTATAATGTAATCTTTAAAAATGAAATTCCTTATAAATATATATAAAAAAAAAAAAAAATTAGTATTTAGATAGTTAATTAATTTTGGAATTGAATCGAACTCCTTCTTACGGATGTCGCTTAAAATATATAATTTAATTATTTTTAATAATATATAAATATATATTTTTTTTACATAATTTTTTCCCTATTTTTTTTTACAAAAATTAAATATCCGAAAGGTAACTATTAATTCGATTCGATTACGTACAATGAGAAATTTTCTTTCAATTTTTTGATTCATTCTGTAATACTTTCCGATAAATTCATTTTGTTTTTAAATCGCATCTTCATTGATGAACAAAAAATAGGGGATTTTTTTTTGCCTCATTTTAACGAAAATCGTTTTTATCTTTTGAGTCGCCCATTCGTAAAAAATCATTCTTGAATTTTTTTTTTTTTTTTTTTTTTTTTTTAAAAAAAAAAAAAAAATAAGCAATGGCTCGAGCTCGATATACTTTAATGTTATTTCTAATAATAATACCCCAAATACTACTGTTACAAGTAAATTCCCTACAATTAAATCCGTCTCACGATAATGAATGGATTCATCGTATTTATAAACGAGATGCACAAGCACCAGAATTAGCGAAAATTCCACCAGTTAATAATAATTTAACTGGAACTGACCAGTTCAAATGTAACGGTGATGCAAGATTATGCAACCTAAGATACGATCAAGTGGTGAGCAAGAAAACGGTTTTCATTCTATAAAAAAAAAAAAAAAAAAAAAAAAAAAAGTTTGACTGATTCCGTTATTTAGACTTATCCTGGAACGCATAATAGCGCCTCGTATGATTTACGATTTGATTGTAATCAAACCATCAGGAATTGTTTGGATTCGGCAAGTACATGCAGCAAACAATTTGCACAATGTGTAGCAACGTATGGTATGCAATGTGATGCACAAACCAATACGTGCAAGCAATGGAATCCCTTATGGTTACATTGGATATGTGGTGGTTTTGATAAAGTGTGTAAATCTTCCAATGGTTTATGTGCAGCATGGAATGCCGTGTGTACTGAAAGTGGTAAAGTATGCAACCTTTGGGGTGATGCTTGTGAAACTCACGTGCCCAGTTGGGCCATCACTTGTTTTTGGGAAAATAATCCTGGTTATCCTGTTTCAAGGCAACTTAGGGATGGTGAGTTTTTTTCACAATTACTTTGAGTGGAAAAAAAAGGAAAATTAGGGGGTATTTTTTTTGAAATCCGTGTTAATTTCCTAATTTAAATCATTCAGGGATAAGATTGTTTGATTTTGATACGTGCCTGGTGAACGAAGAACGTGCCGTTTTTTGTCATGGGAGTGATTTAACAAGGGCGTTAGGATCAGAATTGGATCCAATATTTCAAACCATACTAGATTTTATGAACGAAAATCCTAATGAAGTTATAACGATAGAATTTGGTGATACGGACGGGGATCCCGCAAAGCTTGGTGCGTACATCCAAACAAAGTTGTCACAATATTTTATCAACGAGACGGGACATTCGATGATGTTTTCAAAGACGGACCCTGAGACTCCATGGCCCACGTTACGTGAGATGATAATGAATAATACTCGTCTAGTCGTTTTCTTTGGTAGATTGTATTTTAATATGCAAGAAAGGCAACCTTGGATACAAAATACTGGTTTCTGGTTTACTGATTCTTATACTTACACTTCTAATGCCTCGAACGCCCAAGTGCTCACGAAGAGCTTCTCCGATTGGTGTACTGCTTCTGATGTTATTATCTTGCAAGATCAAAATACTTTTGGTAAAGCCAAATGGCAAACAATTGATGGAACGTAAGTACCTTGATGCAAAAAAAAAGTTTTCGTATTTTAAAAAAAAAAGAATTAATGAATGAAATTTGTATTAACACCTCTTCCCTTCGTTCATAAATCACAGTATAGCATTAATATTATCCGAGATAAAGGATGATTTAAAACATGGAAGGCATCCAGGTAGTTTATGTTTGGATGAATTAGCATTATCAGTAAATTTTAATGTATTGGAATATATCGCAACATTATGTTATCCTAGATTTCCTTACCTTTTCAGAGTAAGGATTGATCATTATTGGCAAAGTAGTTTATTCACGATTGTTCAAAAGATAAATGAACGAAATATTCAAAGATTTTCAAACAACACACTCAATACCACTAATAATAATAGTTAGGTTACAATGATTACATTTCCCGTAAATTTTATATATTTATCATATATATATATAATTTCATCGTGTACATTTTTCTTGGAAGTCAGGAATTGTACATTAATTTTGTATAATTGACAAAAAAAAAAAATAGTAACAATAGTAAATAAAAATCTTTCCCTTTGTATCAATTAAAATTCTATTTTGTTCAGAAAAATGAAGTATGTAATGTTAACATAATATACATTTTCTTCTTATAATTTAAATAAAAAAAAAAAAAAAACCTTTTCTTTTAAATAAATCATTAAATATTATAATAATGATTTAAATAAGGTTAGTAATCTATTTGAAATTCTTCCAAAGATAAGGGTTTCCAAGAACCCTATTGTGTCTAATCAAGTTTACCCTCGGAAGCTGCATCAGCAAATCATCCGAACACAAAGCTCGACCTTTATATAAGAAAGGTCTAATATCTTGATGTTAATCTTTGATCTTTTGATATTCATCAACAAAATATTCTTTCCTATTTTCATTTAAAAAGCTACATACAAAGCGATAAAATATAATTTTAATCGGTCCTTAAATCAGAGTAAAATAAAAGATAAAACGTTCTACTTACTTTAGGAAACCTGTTAAGTGTTCTTTCAGGATGCCCAGTGAATCTTCCGCGAGATTCATACCTGAAATCAACTGTGGAAAGGATACTAAATGAAATAAACAAAAATCATCAGAATAAATTGTCTTCCAGAATTCAACTAAACCAAATCCCTAATTTTAATATAATTACCAAACAATCTTAACAGATGCTCCGCTCCATATATTTGAGAATTATGTAAGCGTTCAAATTTATACCGCATTTCTCGATATTGTTTCCTTTCCAAATGATACAACAAACGTGATCCCAAACATTTATTAAAGTAAAAAAGCACTCCAGTAATTATCTCGTCCGCAATTCCGTCGTCACTACAACAAAGAATGAATAAATTTTTTTTTTTTTCAAGAAATATCATTAATTCACATAAATGCTCACCTTTCTTGACCCCCCTTTGTCTTATTTCGATATATTCTATAGTGTTCTATAATGTCCGACACAGTAGGTTTGCGTGGCAAAGGTACAAACTAAATCAACAAAAGTCGATTCGTCGTTAGATCGTCATAAAAAAGAAAACTTTAAAAGGAGATTAATTACCAATGATGATTTATTAACGTTTTCCCAATCCTGTACCAATATCGCTCGAAGCGAATCAGGAACAGGAATACAAATCTTTGGTTTCTTGATACTTTCATCCTTTTGATTAAAAAAAATTGAGTTTAATCTACACCTTCAAGTTTACGTCACCTCAATGTCAATGACGCACACCTTATCTAATAAAGTATCCCTCCGTCTTTTCTTTCCTTTTTCAGTTGTAGTTTCTTGAACAGTTTTTTTAATCGTTGACCTCCCCTTTTTATTTAATTGTTCTTCGATTTGCTTTTGTTTAGCTAAATTCGTTTCATTAAATTTTAAAACTCGAGATTCTGCAACCCATTCATCCCATCTATGTAAAATGAAGAAAAAAAAAATTAATTAAGAAAAAAAAAAAAAAAAAAGCATTCATTATATATAATCTCACGTATTTTTCCATCCTTTGTAATGTATTAGATAATGTGGACCTGTTAAATTGGATTTTGGATGTTTATTTTCATAGTATTCAGAATCCAAGATCTAAAAAGAGAATAAAAATATCCGGTAGTGTGGTTGGAATCAAAGGGGAAAAATATATATATATATTTTTTTTATTCCCATATATTACGTACTTTTGCTTCGTAAATCATGGGCCCGTGATAACAAAGGATTTTTTCATTTTGTTGGTAAAGAAACTCTTTATTCTGTGCCATGTTTCATATGAAAAAAACGGTGTAATATATATAAACTGAATAAGAGAGAAGCCAATCCCTTAAATAAATTTTTTGATTTTTATATACCGCATATTACTATTTAAAGTTAATCCAAGAAATCCAAGAACATTCTAATGCTAAAAAGGGTAAATTAAAAAATGATCGATCAATAATAAAAAATAAAGTTAAATTAGTTGATTATGCATAAAATGATATAAATCTACAGTTTTTTATTTTTAATTATTATTATTTTTTTTTTTTTTCAGAAATTTCATGGAACCCCTTTTACATACGCCAATGAATCATCCATCTTCTTTTGTATAAATTCGTCTTGTTACGCATTGTCTTATCAAGAATTCACCATCCATATTTCTAATAATTTCTAAGCAGGCGGGCGTCGGCTTAAGTTCTGATGGGCTGTGTTTTTTTACCACCAGAAGTAATCATTTTTCCAAATCTAGTGAATTCATGCTTCAATGAAATGCCTAACTTAAAATGTAAAAAGTTTTAGCCGGCTAAGCCGCCTTTTGACAAATTCAACCAATTTTAATTAGGTGTCCTTTTTTTATATAATTTTTCGGGACTCGGATTTGGCATAACCGAAGTTGGAATTAGTTGGCCACAGGCTGAGTCGGCAAAGTCACACGTGGCGATCAAACTTTACTATTATAAAACGGGTTTTTTTTTGAAATTTTTTTTTTAAAAATTATTTTTAATCGACATTTTCAAATTCTCACCAATTTTCATTCTTAATCTTTAATCCTCGCCTGTAAATTTTTTTTTTAATTGCCCTTTCAATCAATGAATTCTTTCACATGTAACATTGGGCTCTCAGTGGATAAGGAATCACCGCCAAGTAATTCGACACTGGATTATTCGTCAACAGGTAAAAATCTAAACCAATCATTTCTTTAAGGGCATAATTCGATGCTAATTAGCTTTTTTTCTTAAAAAAAAAAAGAAAGTTTGATCAGTTCTAGCGATTTGGATAGTGAATCTAATGATTCCACAGAAGGCACCATCACAGAAATATCACCAAAAACTCGTGAATTCATGTATGAATCGGATTCATCAATTGGGACAACACAATCTCCCGGACATATGTACGAATCGGATACATCGACTGATACGGAGCAAGACATGCTGCAACAAAGTTTCGCATATGACGTAATGGATGATTCCGAAGAGAGTGAATACGATGAATTATTATCATTTCAACATGACGAAGTAAATTCAACTTTACATATTGTAGGAGAATCCTTTAGTCCGAATACCAAGATTGATTGTCATACTAGTAACAAAACGGTCGAAAAAAGCGCGAATACAGTTATTGTTTCCGATAAACCTTTGATTAGAAAGTCACTATTAGACATTGCATCATTATGCTCCCCCACAACAAATAGTACAGGCGGTCAACCAGAACAATCTTCTCATGATGATGAGGATGGGGATAATTCAAATCGCAAGCGTAAATATGAAAGTGTTCAAAAAGATCAATCACATGTTTGCTCTGAACCATCTTGTAAGAGAAGATTCACACAAACGGGTGATTTAAAGAGACATGAACGTATTCATACTGGCGTAAAACCATTTTCTTGTGAAGAGTGTGGACGAGGATTTTCTCGGGTAGATACTTTGAAGGAACATAAACGTACTCACACCGGTGAAAAGCCTTACACGTGCAATTATTGCCATAAAAGTTTTAGTAAATCTGGTAACTTGCGACAACATCAACGTACTCACACAGGAGAACGTCGTTACATTTGTCAGGAACCCGGATGTAATAAAAAATTTATGTATTCAGGAGATTTGAAAAGACACAACCGTTCCCATACGGGAGACAACCCTTACGAATGTAAATATCAAGATTGCAACAAAAAATTTGCAAGGATGGATACTTTAAAAACACATCAACGAGTTCATATCGCAAAAGAAAAATTGGCTTCTGAAGCCGCAAAAAAGGAACAAGAATTAAAAATGCATCAATTTATAAATACGGAAAATCGACCATTTGCATGTGCAGAGGAAGGTTGTGATAAAAGATTCATGCGTTCCGGAGATTTAAAAAGACATCAACGTGGGCATACTGGTGAAAGACCTTATCAATGTGATCACCCAGGATGCGCTATGAGATTTGGACGGATGGATACGCTAAAGTCACATAAACGTACTCATATTAGTAAGGAATCTATTTGTAATGAACCTGGATGTAATAAGAAATTCACAAAGAAAAGCAACCTTCGCTCCCACCAACTAATTCACGTTGGAGAAAAACGCTTTATCTGTAAAGAAGCGGGTTGTGGTAAGAAATTTATGCGTTCTGGTGATTTAAAGAGACACGTTCGTGGACATACTGGCGAGAAACCTTACGTTTGTGAAGAATCTGGGTGTAACAAAAAGTTTAGTCGTTTGGATACTTTAAGAACACATCAACGTACTCATATTGTGCCTAAAGAAATGTTTCATTAATGTTAAGAGGTAGAGACTTTTATGGATATTGAGATATCATTGAACATTAATAAAATAATATTAAAAAACAAAAATAATATCTATAAAATATAAAAAAAAATATATATATATATAAACGTTTATTTATATAACAATAATTCTTTTTAAAGTAAGTCGAACATAGGTAAATACATACCTTTTTTCACTTTAATATAATCTAGTGCAGATATAATTTTTTTTTTGTTTTACCCAAGAAGCGATGCTTTAAAATGTATTGTGTGTTTTGAACTAAGAAAACAATAAATTAACAATTTTAGCTGATAAAGATTAATTGTTGCTGAAATATCATCAGAGATAAACATGAAGAAGGCCAGAGCGAAAGTCTTGATGAATTGTCAAATATTCGTTAGAGATATCTGTTCATACGGAATCATGATCAGTAAAAGTTTGTTACAATTTATTATTCCTTGTTGGTATCTTATAATATGTGTAGCAATTATTTTAGGTAGATAGGATACTCCAACAAAATTTCGCGAGATGGAAGCTAATCTCTATCAATACCGCAGACTTTTAATTCATCGTGGTTTGCAGAATGAGCATGCTTTGCTTGGTATGCGAATATGGTCAGGTACTTCACCTTTACCAAGATACCAATTTGATACCAATACGATAAATATGCTTACTTTCTACACATTCTTGGAAAATACCAGTGTTCATTTCATAAAAGATCGTAAAAAAAAAAAACGATATGGTTTACACAAACAATGAACCTTTATGGTAATAATCGACACATAGTTTATTATTAAATATTTTGTTATATGGTGATAGAATTATTTCTAGCTTTGAATGTACATAAAGTTGCAGCCTATTTGCAAGAGTTTGCTTATAAATTTGTGTTTGTCTGAAGTGGTAACTTTCAAAGAATCCCAATCAAGATCCATGTTATTAAGAGACGTTAACAAATTCTGCAAAGCGCGTCCGAATCGAAAACTTTAAATTGAGTACAATTAGTACAAATGAAGTTCGCATAAACAATTCTTTGAAACGTTGCGTTGGTAACCTTCAATAAGGAGTCGCTATAATAATAGGGAAAATTAGATATTCTGACGTGGATCTACCAAAAGCCCTTGGACGTGAGGAAAACTTCGTAGATAATCAAATTTTAGTGTACTGAAAACTAATTTATTCGACATGTAAAGATGAAAACAACAAGTTCTCGATATCTATTTGAGGAGATTCTGTTTGTAACAATAAAGAAATGGCAACATTGAATCAAAAAATGTCGACTTTCACGAAGCATATGGGATCTGAAAACTTTTAATGAGCATTAAAACAAAATCAAGTAGTTATTTCCTTATAACCGGTTAATTAACTGGTTAACGAATATTTTAACTGGACAAAAAGATTTTAGACCGGTTCAAACTCATTTTTGATAGTATCCAAAAATGGTATTGAAAATAATAAAGTCTTTATAAATATGTTATTTTGCTATTTGCGTCATAATATTTCATCTTTACCTTATAAAAACTTGCCGTAGAAAATGTTTTTTTATTTATCATAGAATACATGAGATTTTTAACTTGAGAATCCAACTTCTTATTTTAAAATGACTTCCTATACTTTAATTCATCTCTAAAAAAAAAAAAAAAAAGGATAAAAATAAGAATGTCTAAATTTTTTTCATACTGTAATCAAATAAAAGAATAATTCATAATCTTACATTAAAAATGCTTAATAAAAAAAAATGTAACTGGTGGAATTAATCATCTAGGTATACTATTTATTGTAAATAAATATGGATTTTTTGAAGTTCTTGGTGATATATTAATAAAATGGTAGGCCTTTTATATTGTTTGTGAAAGGATCTTTGCAATAGAAAGGGGAAAACAGCCGGAAAAAATCAATTTTTACTTTTATATGACAAATATGATTTTTAGCTCAAAATATGGAACCTTTGCAATAGAAAAGGGGGAAACAGTTAGAAAAAATAAAAATCGAGTTAATGTTAAATCTGAACATAAGTGATATAACAGGTTAGTTAATTTATAAAATTAAATAAATTAATATTATATTATTTTATTATTAATTATTATTTATAATTAATTAGTAATAGAT